TGGGCCCCAAATGAGATGCTCAAATTGTCCAAAGAATTTCAAATAATAATTCTTTCACCCTTGTTTAGAGAAAAGATGAGTAACTGCACCCCTAGTTTGGAGAAAAGATGAGTATCTTCACCAACCTAGTTTGGAGAAAAGATGAGTAACATCACCCTGGTTGTAAAATAGTGAGCTGTAATTTCGTTTCTTCTATTAATGAAAAAACACTCAGGGGCTTTTTCTCCACTGATTTACCTGAAAAATAAAAAAAAATAAAAATAAAAGAGAGAGCAGATGACTTAAGTCGTGAAGGCAAGCAAACAACACGAGGACAAGTTAGGAGGTTCTGCATGGTCCACCAATTGGGCCAGGTAAGCTCAGGGGCTCTAGGGCTGGGTTCTGTTTCAAGCTGGGCTTTGGCAGCCCTCTAAGGCCCGTGGGATGGGCTCGGGCTTGATTTGATTTAACACGTTTGGGTTGAGACTGCATCATTATTATCATTATTTGAGCTTTATCTCAACTATTTGGGATTAGTTATATGAATTTTATTTCGCCATCATTGTATTAAGATTCATGAAATAGATGTGGTAAATTTTTTGCCTTGGCTACCAATCAAACACAGCCCTCCTCCTTTCTCTCGGCTTGGACCGAGATGACCAGATTGGTAACAACCTGGACCGGTTTGGGTCTAGGCTTGATTGGACTTAAAAAGTCTGAACTCTGCTGAAGCCTGGCCTAGCACCATCAGGCATATTCACGATCCTATAAGCTAAACAAGTTGGGCCCATCTGCTTGCCATGCTTGATTTCTACCTAAGCTCGAACCTACTGGCTAAAGTCCAGTCCTGTTAGCAACCCTATGCATGTATATAGTACCATGGAGCAGTTGGTTTTAACCTGTAAGTGTTAGGTTCAATTCAGTCGCATTCACCTAAGGTTGGAGAGGGGGCAGAAGCTTCATGTTTGTCACTTGTTAGTCCTTTTAAAAAGGGGCTTCTAAAGGAAGGGAAGGCACTTTGCAGGGGCAACAACTTCGTAGATTCAAATCCCCCGGAAAATGCAAGTCTAAAAATGGCATATCTTGTTTGGGGTGGAAATGGACCTGGACCCGACCCAGGTCTTGGGTATGGGTTCAAGAACTTGACCCAGCGGGTTGGGTCCGGGTCCAAATATTGGACCCGAGTAATATTTGGGTCTAGGTCTACATGGACCTAACCCAAATAGTGTTATTATATAAATAACATCTAATATAAATTAAATGTAATTTATATACATGTATAAATAGAGTAATGATCTTATGATAAACTCCCATATACCCATGTGTGTAGAATCTCAAATGATCACTATTAAATTTGGCACAAATCTTTAAAAAAGTTATCACATAAATGTGGGACTTGACTTTTTTAGAGATCTGTGCCAAATTTAATGGTGATCATTTGGGGTCCTACACACATGGGTGTAAGAAGGTCTCACAAGGTCATTTATCATAAATATAAATACGTGTATATATTTAACATAATATTTAAATATACATAATTGTTTATTTTTTGGGTCGGATCCAATCAGGTTCGAGTTTGATAATTTTAGGTTCGGGTCCCATAATTATTTTTTTGGATCTGAATCCGGGTCGGATAACTACAGTTTCAAAGGTTCACGTATCCACCGCATCAACATTATTTTTGGAGCTTTAAATCCTAGGAAACTAGATTTCTTAAGTCCGTCAAAAGCATTAATGATGTATTATAAAACCGCAGCCTTACTCTTTAATAAACAAGGAAAACCCTAAATTTTGGGTTCCATTTCCATGGAGAGAGAGAGAATAGGGTTTGTCACTTGTAAGCCACCCCTAAAGGCACTTGTTTCAAGTAGTGCTCCATTTGTAAGGCATCCTTTGGAATTCTACCTTTGCACCATTCTCAAGCCTTGAATGTGAACCGTTAGATTTCCACAATGGGCATCTACTGGGACATCTGGGCCGTCCATTGAAATCCCAACTTTAGGCAAAGAATAAGATCAACCCAGCTCATTGAAACCTTTTTAGCAAAAGGGATGCTTAAAAGGCTTAAATGGCCAAATCACCACTAACTTATGAGAAATTCCTAAGAACCTCTAAATATTTGAAAAGTTTACCGTTGCAAGGCTCATGCAAATGGACTTTATGGCATTCCTTCCAAGTATTGGAACCCTTTAATATAAAATTTTAACATTAACAAATGATTGAAGGGGCATGGACACTCCCTCCTCCTTTTTTAGCCCATATAGCATGTGATGTACTCCTGCAGTCAAAAGATCTACTAGGGAGGAGAATCTTTTCATTACAAAACTTTGGAAACCACTTAAGAATTAGTTTCGAAAGGGAAAGAAATTGAATTTTAAAGTTTTTGACACCTAGATCTCGCCCTTCAAAAGTTGGACGGTCTTTTTTACATTAATTTTTTCTAGTACATAGAGATTTCATTTTGAAATTTTTTTATTGAGGTTAGTCTATAGCTTGAAGAGGTTGCATCCTCAATTATTTTATCAGGTTACTTTGTTGAAGATGTTACGTCCCAAAATTTGGATTAGTCTATTGGGTTTTACTTGAGGGAATAAATGGAATGTATAATCACAAGGAGCATAAATTTTTTTGGCTTTTCAATAATTCATCAAACATGGGGTTCTTTGTACGACTTCGGCAAAATGAAAAGAAAATGTCATTTAAGTGGGTTAAAACATTTCAATTTGATGGTTTTACTTTTAAATTTTCCTTTTTATCATACTTTCCCCCAAAAATATTTTAAAAAATACCCAAATTGTCCATATTTAAGGATAGGAACCTCGAATAAATTGTCCATATTTAAGGATAAGAACCTCCAATAAGTACAGGCATTTTAGTAATTTGACTTACCTACAATGCCTTAATCAAATGACATAAGTACTTTGCTTTCTTGAAATGCTTTGTTTATTCAAGATTTCTAACCCTTGAAATGACCGATCAAGCAAACACCATTTGGATTATCCATTTCATAGATCCATGTCATCTACGCTATTTTTAAAACTTCAAATTTTACCATTCAGAACAATAATATATTTGGGTATCAAAGTTTTTTACCATTGGAAATGCATTTTCCAACGGAGTTTCAAGGTGCAACTTACAAAGTTCTATAAATCCACAGAGCCTGTTTTTAAAAACAAGGCGCCCTACTTAATATGCTCTTAGTTGATAAGTCTGGAAATTTTAAAGAAAAAAAAACTTTGGAATCCTAATATTCCATCTGGAAGCTTCCTAAATTCTACTTAGTAAAAAAGCTAACAAATTCTACTTAGTGAAAAAGTTACTTGTGCCACTTTTGAAGAAAAAAACACACACTCTCTCTACTGTAGTGGAAAAGAAGAGGGGTGCAGCACTCTTAACAAATTGTTTATATTGAAAATGATGCAGTGCTTTTTGAGGACATCTTTCAACGCGCAATGTATACTTTCACCCTGCAAAACTAACCAAAAGTTTGGAAAATTTCTTCCATCTGAAGTAAAGGACGGGAAAAGTTGCTTAATCACTCTAAAATCTCTCTCTCTCTCTCTCTCTCTCTCTCTCTCTCTCTCTCGTACGTAAAG